ATATACTTAGCGAAGCATTAGCATAAAGATATACATATTCGTTGAACAAAATTTTGGTTTCAACTTGAGTTTGCTTTTAATTGTGAGTCTTATCAATGTCTAGTTTCTATTGAACTAATTCAAGTGTAATATATCCGACTATATCCGTTAATCAAAAAGAAAGAAAATCAGAGTTTTCTTCATCCTAACACGATTCGAACGTTTTCTAATTGCGATCAGCCATATATGGGAGAAAATATATTTTTGAGACGACTCACATGGGAGAATATTATAGTTAACTTGTCATCTTCAAGTATATAATTAACTAAATAATCCACCGATATGCACGTCCAACTAAAGGCGATAATATATATTGGTATAAATGTATAGATATACCTGTATGCATGTGTGCATCCGTCCACATGGTCTAACCAAAGTCAAAGGATCCATCTAATTATCATTGACAAATATTAGGTTTGATTCTTATAATTCTTCTTCTATCTTGCTTAAGACGTCCAAGAAGTTTAGCAAAAAAAAAAAAAAAAGACGTCCAAGAATTAGAAGAAACTTGTTTTCTTTATATCATCTGGTTCATCTAATAATGATGGATCGATAATAATTGTTTTTTTTTTTAAGTATAGATAGGCCATTATCAAATATTGTGAATCATGCAAAGAAATGGAACATTAACTTGGCGAAAGGCTTAGCCAGCTCCAGAACTAGTTCGAGAGCAATCTAATATACCAATACCATAAATTTATATTTCTATAACTTGGCATAATACTATAATTCTAATTCTATAAGTTGCTTCATTTATTTAGTTAATAAATGCACATGTACCATTTTCGCGACATGCTCTTTTTTATCTAAAAATAATTGAAGTTGTTTTCAGAGTAAGAACAACAAGCCTTGATTAAAATTTTGTGAACGTTTTATCACTTGCTTTTGATGGTCAAATTTCCTAACCAATATAATAACGCCCTAAATTGAAAAATTAAGAAGAAAAATCAATTTGTGATCTATATTTTTGAAAACTGAACAGTTAAATTAAAATTGGCCCTAACCTGAGGAGATTAAAAAAAGCAAGAGCATAAAAGAATATAACGTGAATGTTTATCTCGACGCTATATATGTTCTACTTCCAAATTCAATACTTTTCAAATCCATGACAATTAGGGTTTGGTGAGTGAAAACGATAGCATTAATAATTACTGACTATTGGATCAACTTTCCTTACCCAATAAATAATTATAAAAATAGTGAGTATGTAGCTGATTAGGGCTAGGAATTGTGCTGATTACTAAACTGTTATCAAAGACTTCACATCACACTCAGTTTATCTCCAAAAACATCGTATACATAAAAACTGACTGTAGGGGAAAAAACTAATTATTA